AGAGCAGGCTGTCCCCCTGCAGCCCATGGGTCCCACATGGAGCAGATCTCCATGCTGCAGCCCCCCCATGGGTGGAGGAGCCCCCGGTGGAGCAAATGGATGTGTCTTGGAGGAGGCTGTGGCCCATGGAGAGCCCCTGCAGGAGCAGGCCCTGGGCCGGAGCTGCAGCCTGTGGAGAGGAGCCCACGCAGGAGCAGAGGGTCTGGGGGGAAATGCCACCCACCCGTGGGGGACCTGTGCCGGAGCAGTTTGCTTCTGGGGGATGGACCGCATGGTATGGAGCCATGTGGGAGCAGTTCTTGAAGAGCTGTTGCCTGTGGGCAGCCCCCACAGGATCAGTTCAGGAAGGATGGCATCCCGTGGAAGGGACCCCACGGGGAGCAGGGGCAGAGAGGGGCTGTGAAGGAGCGGCGGAGACGAAGTGTCAGGGACTGACCACAGACCCCATTCCTTGTTCCCCTGCGCCACTCAGGGGGAGGAGGTGAAAGAGGGTGGATGGGGTGAACAGTGTTTTTGGTTTGCTTTTAGTTTCTCACTGTTCTAGTCTGCTAGTCAGAGGCAATAAATTATATTAATCTCTCTACACTGAGTGTGTTTTGTCCATGGTAGTAATTGGTTGGTGATCTCCCTGTCCTTATCTCAACCCTTGAGCCCTTTCCATCATATTTTTCCCCCTTTCCCTCTGAGAAAGGGAAGTGAGAGCACAGTTGTGGTGGAACTCAGCTGCCCAGCTGGGTAAAACCACCACAAACATGAGATCAAAAGAAGTATCTGACAACACAGAATTGCTGTTTATAAAACTGAAAGGTTGCAGCATCAAAACCAGCTCATTTCCTCCAGTTTTAGTCATTAGACCTGTGGGAAAATTGACAGAAGCTTTAGAATATAAAATAATAAACCATACTGTCTGAAAAATTGAAGAGTTGGCCTCTTCCTTATGTCGCTACCTTTTAATAAAGAAAACACAAAGTATAACTTTTAAGAGAGACTTGACAAAGATTTGTCTGGGAATTCCTCCCAAGAAGGGCTGAAGCTTTAAACTAAAGTGCAAGAAGAGATGAGGCAAAAATAGTGTCTCAGGAAGGACAAAACCAAAGGATGTCATAGCATGTCAGTAGGTGCAAGTGAGCTCAACACAAAGTGATGCTGAAAGGGATAACATGAAGAAAACCTACAGCAGTGAAGAAAAGGCAAATTGTGGGAATTGGCAAAAAGGCACCTGTTAAACTTTGTGATGAACCAATGGGAGATCTGATGGAATATTTAGAATTAATGATAAAAAAAAAGACCAACAGTTTTGAATCTAGATTTATGTGCATATTTTGTTACTTTAATGCAGGTCTGCCTACTATTGTGTGTACAAATGGAGTAAGTGTAGGACTGAAGTATGAACAGTTTAGAAAGGACCTTGCAAAGTCAGTATTTTATTTGCTTTATTTGCACCAAAGCACCAGAAGGGAGGACAGTAGTTTGGAAAGTTTCTAAATGTACTGGAACACCAAAAGCAGGTCAGAGGGGAGGACTGGGAGAGCTGAGGTCGCAAGGTCAATTAACTGGCCCTGTGGAATATAGTGGCTGTATTCAAAAACATCAGCTCAGTAAATGTCCACTATAATGATTTGAAAAAGGATATTCACAAGAGATTGCACAAATTCATTTTTTTTTCTCAAAGTAACGATGTCTTATGAGCTCAGCACCCTTTCTTAACTTTTTACTGCTTTTTACTGCATTTATTATTATAATCTGCCTAATTATATGAACTTGCAACAGGAATGCTTATTCCTACAATTAAACACTTAGACATTCTCTTTTTATTTTGGTTATGATGTATGTCTTTGACAGTTGCAGGCCAAGTGTCATCTTGATCTTTATAACTATGAAAGGCTATTTTCCAATCTGCTGTCACTGCTTGAAGATCTTCATACTTTTTCAATTTGACCATTTGATGCCACCTCTCTGAATCAGTTTTTAATTGCTTACAGAAAAAATAGCACAATGTGGAACTGTGTGTATGTGTAACCAATGATTTTAAGCACTTGTTTTTTTTTTCATGTAACTTAGTATTACCCTTATGCTACTAGCACTTGGCATGAAGGAACAGACACAATTGTATAATATTGCTAATGAAGGACTTTAGAGAAATCCCAATGTCTAGTAAAGTATTCAGAAGTATCTGTACAGCAGAGGGAAACATAGGACAAAAACAATAAAAGAGGAAGCCCTGGGTTTTTCAAGTTGAAAGTTTATTTGTATCTGGGGTAAGTGGAGAGTTTAGATTTTAACTTTTTACAGTGCTGTCATCAGAAATGAGATAATCATTTACTGTTCTACTTCAGAATATTACTTCTGACTTACCCTCAGATAGTTGCAAAAGATTATTCAAATAATATAACGTATATTACCAATGCACACCACCCAAGGTCATAATTAGCAAATACTTTAAAAGACAACATAGGTACAGAGGTTGGCAAGCTGAAAAAAGAAGCTGGGAAAAGAACTTGACTGCCAAATTCACCTGCACTGCAACTAGTGAATTATGAAGGGCTTTTGGACATGACTTGTTCTATAGAAAAAGCAAATTTGAAACTGCTTCAGGAAAAGATTGCCTTCAAAAATTTCTTGTCCAGAAATGCTAGAAAACTAAAATCAAATATTTGTTATGTTCTACTCTGACATTTTGCAAAATAAAAGTTTTTAGTTCTTGAATAGAAATAATTTGTTTTGAAAAATAAAAGTTACAGAAATTCAGAATGAAAATCATTGATCAAAATAAAATGTTCTAACAACACCTATTTAAGAAATACCATTCTTAATTCAATTTTTAAAAAGGTTTTAATGATTTATTTGGTAAAATATTTTATTTTTAAATTTCACTGAGGTGAAAATTGTAAACATCTTTTTTGTTTTTTACAGGAGTAATTCTCCTCTGATAGGAAATCCATTTTACATCTAGTTGCAATGTTTAGTATGGAATCAGAAAGAAAGCATAAAGGAAGCTTCAGGACTGCTGTGAATTATAATGATATGTCATGTCTCCTAGCAGCTATTCAAGAACTCTGTGAGAATTTGTACTCTCCCTGCCTCAGGCACAGTATTTAACCTGTATCTCGCCTACATGGAAATGGGTTTAAATTTCATCGCACACAGTTTGCAAGTCCTACTGGGCAAATATCTTTGAAGATGACAGATTATTTAAGTAATTTTAGAAGATAAAAAGTATAAAAATAAAATATGTCAAAGCAGGCAAAAATTCACCCCCGAAGACACAACAGAAGGGAAAGGGAAGCTGAGTAAGAAATTTTCATAAATGAATTAAGTTGAGAATAAGGACACAGTTTTCACCTGAACAAAAATCAATAAGCTCAGCCCTTCTCTGTCATATTCAACTCCTCAGAAATCAGCAGTCATTCCAATACTGAAGATAGTTCAACATGCTTTGTAATCTAAGACATCAATATCTATAGTATGTCTGAAGAAAACGAAGAAATACAACAAATCAAATAGAATATTATCTGCAAAAGTCAGTCCTCTAAGGGCTTTCTCAAGCTAATTCCAATGGCGCACAGTGCCAGCTACACCTTATCTAGCTTTAGCAATCAGGTAAAACTCTAAAGTACTCTTTAGAGTTTTGACTGCAGGGTGAAACCAAATTTTCTCTCTTACTTTCAGGTCAATACATCCTTTTCTCTGCTAACAGTCCAGGCTTTATGTCTATTATATTATTTGCATGAGATTTCCTAGTGTATAAACACCTTTTAGCAACACTGGAGTCATTTCCATTGCTATCAGCATAATAAAGTATCATTAAATGAGGGATCTCAGCTGAAAAATACCTCGTTTCTTGAGTGACTAAGATGTATGAAACAAAGGTAAAAAGAAGGCTCGTAATGCATTAGGTATTCTTATGGAAATTTTCCTGACAACAGCACAAATTCTGTAGTGGGGTCACTATGAGCAAATTACAGAATTACTTTCTTTACTCTTTTTTCCTTACTGACGCTCTTCCACAAGGTGTAACTGAATTTTGCTCTCTGTTGTATCATGATTTTTTTTTTTCTTGATGTCATTAAAGTTAGAACAAGTAAAAAAGTTCAAAAAATCAGTCATTTATGCTGGCATTTATTTATTAAGCAAAAGAAAAAAAAAAGTATTGTTAAAGAAGGTCAAGAATGGATTGCTCAAAGATGGGCATTGGAATATGGCAGTGTGCACATAGTATCGCTGAGGATGTAATGCATGCCAGTGAACTCCAGACTCTCCCTGACAGCCTCTTTCTCCTTTTGATTTGCTTTAACACCAAAAAAATGTGGTGGGCCTTCTGAATGACACGTTGGTCACAATGCATGCACTGAGATCCACTATTTTGGTTACCTCTTAAGAACATTTTGAGCCTCATCTCTGTAGGTCCTCAGTAAACAATAATTACTTGCCACCTGTCCTAGAGTGTCCGAACACAAGTTGAAAGAAATGGTTTTAGAGGACCGATCTTTACATGTTGTTTCTTCTCTGTAAGGAAATCCAGTATCTTTGTCAAATGTATCTTCAGGGAAAAGACAGAATCAAGTGGGCCTACCACACAGCTAATCCAAATCAAGTAAAAATTACTATATTTTCATAGTGCACATTTACCTTATATAACACATCTTTATTCAGTCAAAGACTGAATTAGATAAGTACAGTAGTCTTTATGCTAACCATACATAAGCTAATCTTTTCTCATGGGTATCTAATTTATTTAGACGGCCTGTCTGTACCAAACCTCCACAAAGCTTATTGAAATAACTGAGCTGTTATGGGAGAACAGGCACACAGAGATCCTTAGTAGCAGCTGGACAGGAAGGCTGCTGCTGTAACTTCAGAAAATGAAAGACACTTGAGAATAAACTGGACTATCAGGGAAATATGCCATTTTTAACGACTTAACCACTTGCATTATCATGACAACTTCAGAAAAGTAGTCTTTCCATTCATAGACAGTTTTTGAGTGTGTTTGCTTTTACCTGCCCCAATGACTCTCTCAATGCGAATTCTTGAGGGATCAATCTCCTTTGCGAATTCATGGACAGCAAGAGATGGGTCTTCATATGTGTCTGGATCAATGTATGTTTTGATTCCTGGGAAACGTACTGCAAAAAAGAGAGAATACTAGGAAACAAGCATTCTTTGATACTCACACATTATAACAATATAGATATTAATTTTCCGACACAATCAAAAGCATTTAAAATTGCTCCTTGAAACTGCAAGCAAGGTCCTGCTGAACCCTGCTCAAATCTCTTGAGATATTCTAGGTGACTGAAAGCATGGGTATGTCATCAGGATTGTTGCAATGCATTCTTACATCAGACTTCCCTTCAGCTTGCAATGATAACTGTAACCAGTGTCAGTGTAAACCCCAGAGAAAATATAGGCATTGGGTTCTCTGAATTTTATGTATACATCTAGGTATTATCACGTTTGCTGGCTACACAGGTGCCAGAGGAACAAAAAAGTCAAAGGCCTTTGGAAAACTCAGTCTTTGGATTTCAATTGATAAGACAGTGTCAAACTCTTATGCAGTTCTGTCTCTGTCACAGCTGAACCAAGCAACTCCTGAGAAAATAACAGCCCTTCCTAAGTTTTGAGATAAATGCTATTTTAGGTAAGTCAAAGTACTTTTTTTTTTAATTTTATTTTTTTTTTTGGTAAGCATTTCCGTTCCAACTGATACTTAGTATTTTGGTCTAAAGAGGCTCCTTGGTGCCTCTTCACTTAGCTCACATCCTGAAGGAATTTTTCAAGTACAGATGGTAAATTTGGAAACTATAACCTTGGAAAATTCAGCAAGTCACAAGGGAAAATATGAGCTCTGTGCTGTTCAGCTGAAAGGATGTCTACAGAGACACCAAGTGAAGCCTCAAAGATATGGTGAAAAGCTGATCCCCACGATTGACAGTGATTATGTTCAAAGATTTTGTGTCCTCCTTTGCTACTCCTTGGACAATTTAGACAATCTGTCCTTTACTTTGAAAACACTGTTTGCTAATTTACTCCTGTCTTTTACTGGTGGATGGATGAACATTTGTTTTGCCAAACAGGTCCAATCTTTGAGATCCTCTTCTCTGAGAATGGGTCCTGGAGGACTGTGCTGCTTTGTTCTATTCTGATCAGCTTGCACAACCAAAGAGCCAGGTGCAAGATGAGAACAAAAAATATCCAAATCCATTTACAAGGCTTTGATAATTTCTGTCTGCTTCCTTGGAGATGGCTGCAGCAACAGTGGGTTGGTGCCAGACTGCTTTGGCAGGTTCCAGCAAGGCATCATTTTTCTGGCATGGCTAATATCCCTTGTGTTCCTGAATGTAGCATGTCCATGAACTTATGTTGTTTCTCTTGGACTATCTGGATAAGAAATTCTTTAGGCTCCTGCAATGTAGTGATTAAGTTCTGGAAAACTTTCAATTCATTAACAGACATTGATGTAGATAACGCATTAATTTAGCACGATAAGAGGAGAGTATTGCAGCTGGGTCCAGAGAACCTCTTTAAAAGAATTAAGTACCACTCAGCCTTCTTCCTCTTATCACTTAGTAGATGAGTTTAAATTACTTCCTTATCTGATGAGTCTAAATACATTAGGTGAGACCTAGTTAAGGATGTACAAATATGACTGGGCTTCATTAAGTCACCTGCAACACCCATTTGGACCAATGCTGATAGAGTACACACACCATTCAGAAATGGGAAGCACATCATGTGATTCCACATTACCAGCAAGATTATGGACCCCTTTCTAACTTTCTTCAAAGAGTATATTCCCTGAAATCTTCCTCAGAGTCATGCAGAGTTCCCAAGGGACGGAGGTAGGATAAACAGGAGGTGGTTCTTCTCTGCTTGCAACAGCAGCATAGGAGATAAAGCACGGACATGACTAAGCTAAGAAACGGGAAATGCTAAGAAGTGCTAACAAATGCTAACAGCAGAATTTGTTTTTTAAAACATCTTCAGCTTGTTTAGGGGAGGTGACCCCATAGAAACTGTGCAGCCTCATATCTTGTTTCAGGTTGAGATGCTAGATACCAAATCTGTAAGTACTCAGCAGTCAGGCAAAGATTGCTACTAGCATGAAAAAGGTACTTGTGAAGCCAGTGAGTGCTCCCATTGTAAAGGAGGGAATATTATTGGCAATACAGTCCTGGCTATTGGGGTAAATCACAGTAATTCCTCTTGATCCTTGGTTCTGTGGAGGACATGCATGATCAGGTAAATACCCTCTTGAGTCTGATGCTGAGATAACTCCCAAAGAATGGGAAGCCTCTTAGGTGAAGCTTTGTGTCAGCATGAAATAGGGGATATAGTGTAGTCAACTGAAGCAGGATTTTATTTCTCATGACATAGCTTCAGTCTTGATCATAGTATTTCCAGGGATGTTTTCAAAAATGAATAAAAAAATAATAAAAATATAACACCCTTTCTAGAAGTAAATAAAAACTTCTTTTAGCTACTCCAACATAAAATGACGAAGCTAGTAATATCAATTAAGTAGCTAAACTGAGCTAAATAACTAATATACTGCTCATGAGAGCTTTTCTCTCAGAGTACTGATCACTGAGAAAGAATGTGAGAGAACGCAACCCATTCTACTTTTTATTTCTTGAGTGGCCGGAAGTGTAGATCCCAAAAGGCATTAATAGTCAAAGAGAACTGGCTACAAATATGGCACACAGTAACCAAGAGCATTATTCTGAGGCAGACGTTCAATAGGGTCCAGACCAGTTGTGAACTCACAGAAATACACCTGGAAAACTGATAAATGTGATTAATAGAGTACTAAAAAAAAAAACCCTTACTCACTGGAGTGAATTTGGTGAAATTGTCCAAGAGAACATAGAAATAAACACAGTCTTGATGGTGCAGATAATAAGGAACTATTCAAATGGTCAGATTAAAACATGAAGGGCAAAGGATGCACAGAAAACAATGAACATTCTTCATTTAAAACCTAATATAGATTTTATGTAACACAGTGTTAAACTACTTACAATGTCCATTTTGCAAGTGAGCCCTTCTTTTTTCTTCAGATTTCATTTTGGCCTTTATGTACCACTGGCATCTTTTAAGAAAAGCAAGTGAGGTTTAAATTAAAATGGTTGTCATATATAAAATAAATGTACATTGTTTTATCTGCAGATTTATAAAAGCCAAAATTTTGCATTCTGAATCAAGAGATTTAGTTGTGAAACTGAAAAGAGAAAGACACACAAAGAGCTACAGCAAATTAGATACCAATGAAAAAAAGTCACAGTTGGATGAGTAGTGAAAATGACTACTGAAGTTTCATGCAATACCTTATTTCCAAGTTCGAAAGAATCTTAAATACTTTGCATACACTGGCTTAGGCAAATTAAACCTTATGCTATTACCTTTTATACCCAGTGGGTCAAAAAAGCTCATAATTTCTTCATAATATAATAAGTTCTTTGACTTCAACATATTTCATGAAAAAGGATTTTTTTTTCCCCATTAAGACTGCTATTTTTTACTTCTGATTAGCTCTGTTCAGTCTGTTAGGCAGATTTGTTATTTCTCATAAGATAGCTGCTATCTCATAGGATAAACTGTATGTAGCCTGCTATGTGAATACTAGTAATTTAGCATAGGCCTGGATGATTGCAAATCCTTGGCAAACAATGCTAAACCCTGTTGATATTCATTAACAGTTAGCAACCTTACCTGGCAATTCAAGGTTATGCTGGAGAAAACTGCCACATGGCAAGATTTCAGGTTCCCTCTAACAAAACCTCTCCTAATTTTAATGCTGTCTATCTGTGGGACTGTTAGTGCCCATTTAGAGGGCCCAATGATGGGAGTAACTGTTTAGGGTCAAGAAACTAACAGTAAGATTTGCTCTCGGTCTTACAGCTCTTACTCACTGAGCAGCCTAAGGATGACTTAGAGGGAAACCTCTGGAGCTAAGGGCTAGGCTGAGGGCTAAGGGCTATCTGGGCACCAACAGCAGTGCATGTGGACATACGCTTTGGTGTACAGAAATTCAGTTCCATAATAAGCTTTGACAAAATGACTGGCTTTTTTGTGTTCATAATCAGCCTAACAAAATAAACTATAATTATGGATAGTGTATGCAGTAAAATAGTAACCACAGAGAAATGGGAAATATGTGAACACACCCACCTCCTCTCAATGGTTCATTTAAACTACTGAAAAAGATTAGGAACACTGACAAATGCTTTCGCTGCTATAGAGGTGACGATGAACATCTGAAGGGCAGAAACTTCTTAAGCTATCAAAATTAGCAGGAAGTCATTTTCACAGTTGCGTACCCTAATGGAGGGAAACGGTAACCATGGGATTCTCAGCTTCTGTGGAAATCTTTGGATTGTACACCAGTTGCTAGGACCACTAAGCATGCCAGTGACATTTTTAAGACCTGGACAACTGGTCTGTGGGATCCCAGGTACTAAGAGGAACACTGAACTTACACTCATACAGCTCTTACACTTGGAGTGTCTGCCCAGAGCAACACTTGAAGAAACAAGTCTTTATCCCCCACAAATCTCTGAAATATCTAAAGCCCTAAAATTAAGACTATAGAAGCCAGTGAGAGTCAGCGATAGAGTCTTCCAGTTCCAGCTCCCCATTTTCTACTATTGCCAGCTAGAAAATCATTGGAAAGGAATAATTTCTCTAATGATAAGGATAAGGACCCTGAATTTTAATACTGCACTTCCTGGAATTTAGCCAAGACTCTGGTCTCGCTACCTACCCTGTGCCTCGAAGTCACTATCGCTTTCATTTTTCTATCTGCAATTGACAACCATGCTTCCTGCTTGCTCTTGGTGGATAATCACTCAGCAGAGTGCAGAGGCAGGTGCTTGTTTAACCCAGCCTCTCCACTATGAATAGACTCATCAGCAGCCCTGTGACTCGATAGCTCATCAAATTGCTAATTCTAAACAGTGAAGCAGAGCACATCTGTAGGATACCAATCCCATTTTTCATGCAGAAATTCACCTCCAGTCCTATAGTAAATTGAGTATTTATTCAAAATTTTCTTGCTCTGTCTTTTACAGAATACACTCTTATCACTGCATTTAAGCAGCACATCAAAATGAATTCATATCTTACATAATTGAAATAGTCCCATTGAATAAGATGTTAGAAAGCTACGAGAGTCACCAGTGTCCTTAACATTAAAAAACAGGAGAAATAAACCCAGATAGAAACCCATTTCCATTTCCTTTTTTTTTTTTTTTTTTTTTTTTTTTTTTTCCATTCCTGAGTTTACTGAATGTTTTCAGAGGAAAGAGTTTTAGTTAGGTTTCAGGAGTCACACACTCAAGGATTCTGCAGAATCATTTTCTCTGAAAGTTTGTCTTTGTCTGAGTAACTCTTCTCTGAAATAGTCTGTCATTTGTAGTAAATAAGCTTCTAAGATTACTTGAGATCACATCATGTTTCGATGTGAACTGCTTCCATTAGCTTCAACTGAATGCTAGACTTAACCTGTTTTATTGTTTAGCAGAGCATTAATTCACATAATGGTAGCTACTGTAGTGCCATATTTGGCTACTGGGATACTGCAAATAAATGATCCAGCCTGCACTGGTAGGACTTTCTTTTCAAATTAAAGGTATTGTTATACCAACAAAATAGCAAATTAATTACAAGTCTGAAATTGCAGCACTGTCAAGTGATATCAGCCTGGTCTGTAATGATTACTATCCCATTCAGAGAAGTAACTGTAACATCTTCCCTCTGTGTAAGCACAGACTCTAAACAACACCAGGAATGGTGCAGAAACTCATCCAAACTTCAGTTTTTTTCTGTCCCAAAGCTGGGTAAGAAGGAAACTCCGTGGAGAACACTCCTTACATGGAGGCTCTTCCACCATTTGTATTATGCATCTGCAGGAGGAAGAGGAAAAAAGGGTAGAGATGGGCCAAAGCCCACACAGATCCTCCTACAGAACTTACTGAAGGAGATGAGCCCAACTACCTCTGCTTGGACTCATATCTCTACAGAGTACCAGGCTTTTTTGAACCATGGCAGAACTGCGGTCCCACTGATGTCTCACAGAGATCTCGAGATGAGACATAATGTCTTCATCCTTTTAAATTTTGCTTTGTTTCCTGGTGGAAGCAGATGAAGTCCTAAAGTCCCAAGGAAAACACTCGTATAAAAAGACATTTTACAATAAATACTGGTTTTTGTGTTCCTTTCTTTTCTTCGTCTTCGAATGCCAGAGCCTTGAGGGTGCAGATGTATTGTATTTAAAAATGTTTGCTCTACAGACAAGAGGGCCAGAAACTTATTTTAAAAAGATAAATTATTTCCTGATTTCACATAATTACTTAGCTGCCCAAGCCGGGCTTTTAAGAACTGTGAGTGTGAGCAGTGCTGAAGAAAGAGGACATTGACCCAGCTACATCTAACCCATATTTCAGCACTGACAATGTGGTTTAATGACTTAGCTATTCTTCTTAAACTCTTAGTGTTGGATGACACAGACCCTGAGTAAATAAGAACACTGTAGCATTAATTACCTTCCAGTGATCAGGAAGAACAAAGTGAGGATGACCAGGAGAGTGAATCCACCAACAGCAGCAGTAGCAATCACAAGAATCTGTCCCTGCTCCGCAGCCATATCAGAAGCTGAAAGAGAAGCACAAAGAAATGAGGTTAAAACTCCAGTACTTGGATTCATGTGGAATGGGTGACAAAATTTCACTGATCAAATGTTGCAATTACTCTGTAGTAGTTTTCTTGGTGCTTAGACCAGACATCAGATGTGAATATGCCTGTGAAGTGAAAAACCTTAACCTGTGTCCCAATTATAAAGAGGCAGAAAAGATTTTTTTTTTTTTTTTTAAATGAGGAGCTGGCATTATCAGATAAGTTTTTCAATTGAAACTAACTTGCAATTTACCAAAGTTTGACTACAACACGCTTTTGGACATAAAACTAGAACAAATTTATTGATTTTTTTTTAGCTTAACCTTGCATCTAATTCAAAACTTCTCCCCATCCAACTGTCCCAAGTGAAGTCAGCAGCAGTGCTATGCATGTAAGACATACTAAACTAGACTCAGTAGAACGTGAAGTACAAAAAGTGCACGTAATATGTAGCCTCACACATTATTCTGTGTTTCTGTTATTTAGTTTTACACAAATTTATACAATTTTATCTATAACAAGCTCTGGTGATTGGCATAGCTATTGAAAAAAAAAGATTTTCTCATGCCTCATGTTTTTCTTCTGCTTTTTGTAGAACATTTAGCAGGTAAAAAAGATCATCTGAAACTATCTAGTATTCAGATGCTTGATCTTTTCACTGTTTTTTCTTTATAATATTAAATATTTACACTGACAAAGTACCTACTTACAATTAGGCTGGTCCTCATTGTGCAAATACTACTGAATACAAAAAGAACCGCATCTCCTGTTTTGTGACTTCAAAGTTTTACTTCTTAAAGTAAACTCAGTTACACTTGAATATTTTTACCATATGATATTTACCTAATTCTGATTTTCTTTTTCTATGAGAAACATAAGATTGTCCTGAAAGAAAAATAAATAATTCTATTCAGGTACCTTGGACAACAGCAGTAAATGCAGAAAAGAAAATAAGTTTTAGATTTATCAAGGAAGAAACTTTGGCTTTGTAATCTTGTAAATAAAATCTTCAGCTTTCTTTGTGCATCAGATGATTAAAGTTTAAGGAAATCACCTAGGCTGCTGGAAAGAGAAAGCTCAGCAGGCTATATTCTCTCACTTTGCAGTTGATGAAGCCCGATACAATGTACACATAACTCCCCAAAGCATCATAAAAAATTGTTTTCAAGAAAAACATTTGGCTTCTAAATAATATTTGTGAGTGTCTTAAAAATTAGCTTTGTAAACTGGCTTTGTAATAGTAGTAAAGCGAATAAAAGCAGTAGTAATTTATGTCCAATTTTCAGCAAAAACAACTTGTTAAATTTCTGCCATTTGGTTTCTGTCCATATAATTTAATGGAGATGTGCACTGGCAGTAAATTACAAGGCATTCAGTATCTGTGATCATAAACTCTCCTCAGACAAGTTAAATACATGAATCTTCCAATAAATGATGTATCAAAACCTTTTATCAAATACTTACTAAATAGCTAATCTCCAAAACAGTACAGTGATACCATGGGAAGGGACTGTAGCTCTGAATTATCTTACGTTCCACAGAGTCAGGTTTAGATGAAAAAATACAATATAAAACATGGTGCCACACGAGTAACAATGCAAAAAGTAACAGGCTCTTGAATTCAAATGTTGAATACTATTTCTAACTAGCAAGGGTTGTGCTAAATGTTACAAAGACAGCCAGGGATGATTTGAAGTTGCAAAGGGTAAGGGAAGTTTTAAATGAGTGTATCTTGTCCATCTGTGCAATGAAAGTGAGAGAATGAAATGCAGTTTTTTTATTTTATTTTATTTTATTTTATTTTATTTTATTTTATTTTATTTTATTTTATTTTATTTTATTTTTAATTTTATTTTATTTTAACTTTTTAATAGGAAAAAGAACTGTGCAAAAATATTTAGTTCAGTAAAACAAATGTGAACCAGAGGCTCTGATAAATTAGCTGGAATTTTGTTCAACAGGCTTTCATTATCAAGGAGAACACCCAGGGTTTGAGAATTAAGGTTCAGAGTGCAAATGTAGCAACTGATCCTATAGTCCGAAGAAACCTTTTGCTAGCTACTGAGATGAAAAAAGTCAGTGTCCTGGATCACTCATGCTGAATGGAGTTGCTTGGAGTTTTAGCTAAAGCAGACTGCAATACTTCGGTTTAATAACACACATATTTTTTACCAGGAACCACAGTCAAGTTCTTAAAGGGGGAGAAATTCCCCACTGACTTAGTTCTTTCCATGTCTAACCAATACAATTTTTAGCTGAGACTGTACATTCTTAAATAGTGATCATTCTGTTTCTAGCATTTGTATTTTACTCTGTTGGCAGAGATGCCAGAGTCCAATATATTAGGATTTTTTTTCAAGAAGCCAAATCATTATAAAGGGCCTTTCAAGCCTGAAACTTCCTGATGACCTTAATTTACTTGTCAGATAAAAATGTCAAATGACAGACAAGTATAATTGGAAAATGTGGATTTGTTAAAAACTGACAGAGAGGCAGTTAAGGCAAAATGATGGAAATACTTATTTTTGCTTGAAGTGATCCTTCTAGAAATCGATAAAGGCACAGTGCAGTGAACAACACATATATAAACACGAAGGCATTTGTACACGCATACAGCGAGTCCTTGCACACAGGCTCCACAAAGTACTGTCTGGACAGGGAGAAGGTGGCAATAAAGGAAACTCGATAATTACAATCTTTACAGCATTTTGACATTCCAAATTAAATTCAGCATGTCCCTTGACTTTTCTGTTCTTTTCTTCCCAATTTCTCTCTTAATTAAGGTAATGTTTAAGTTGTAAATAATAAGTGCTTTAATAAGAGACTGCTTTTGTTATGCATGTCCTTGATTCTTTTTTGTCATTTCCTCCTTTTTTCCTTAATTTTTCCCATCAGCTAGGCATGTTTGTATATGCCCCTGTGTTTCTCCTCAAGAGTGTTCTTAACTACGCAAGATAGAAAAATAAAAAACAATTCTGACTGCAAAGCCAAGCAAGTTGCTGCAACAGTATTTTATCTTATTGTGTGTACTTATTACAGTGCTGCATTTAACCACGCAATCTCACAGCAATTTTCCCAGAATTTTATTCTAGACAACAGGGCCGCTAATCGTGTAGCTAAAATCACTGTTTTGTTTCCTTTACGCTGCCTAGCACCTGCTGACCGCACAAGGATGCTTAGTAGTTCTGTGATTATAAGGATGAATGTGAGTTTATGATTTATAGGGCCATGCTCCATTTGACAGTTATAGTTGATAGGCAAGGGGGTGGGGAAGTGCTGGTGGAACAGGAATGTGTAAACAGCTAGCAGATCCAATGGGAAAACTATTGCCAACTTACTGCCCTTGTCCATATTCCCTTGTCCCTGTTCCTGTTTCTGACATTACATCTCTCCCTGTGCTTTCAGAGAGGACAAGCATGCTGCAGAAGAAGTGCTCTCTCTCCTCATTAGACTCCCTGTGGTGGTGTGAGTGGGGAGATCAGTTCTGTCCACCTACAGCAGTTCACACAGGTTTGTGCACTGGAGAGAAAGAGGATAGGGTTTGCTACAATTCCCTTCTTGGTGCTCCAAGACACAAAAGGTGGATTTATCACCCAGGCTTCTGCTTCAGTCATCTCATGAGAGAGCTTAGTACCTGCATACCTGAGTGACTGTTAGGTCTGGTAGTACATGTCATTCTTTCTGGCCATCTGCTCTATAAGTACATTTTGACAAAAACATACTTTTAAAAATGAATGGCACAATGCAAAGATAAGGGAGGATTTATGAGTTATCCTTGCAGATGATTAGATACTCCACTAAAATATTTGGGTGTCAGAGTTCTTCAGCATGGTGTAGCCACCACTGATACGACTAGCCAAAGCGGTGAATGGGTTCTACAGCTACAACATGTATCACACACCCATGTACCCAGAAGCGTATTATCCAGAGGAACTGTTCACTCACATTACTCTTCATGCTTAACTCAGACGCGGGTTACATGCTTAAAATGATGTTTAAGAGTTTCTAATTGCATCATTCCAGCTTTCTTGCTCAACAACAAGGCCAGCTTCCTCGCTTACCACCATGTCCAGAAATCCCTTCCACATCCAACCTGGAATCAGGTCAGTTCCCATCAGCTACTTTTTACATTCAAGGCCTGTCAAAGTTGCAGCTCCCCTCTGGGTTCTTCACCCAAATGTGTGGAGGAGGACCTGCATTGCAGCTTCTCTCTGGGCTGATTTGAAATATCTGAGGCTTCTTTGCTTCCTTAATGGGTAGACTGTGAGAAAATTGTGCAGAAATTTATTCACAGTGCAAGAGGATAATATTAAGTAGTATTATATAGTAATATAGTAGTAAATTTATTCACAGTGCAAGACGGAGAATATCCTCGAGCTCTATTCTCTGTTCTTTGAGCAAATTTCTTCAAAGTCTTTTAAAAGGTTGTGTATTTGGTCTAAAAGGGCTGGAAGCCCTAATGACAGCTCTCTTCTGTCTCTTAGCTACATGCTTTAGTTATTTCAATTTAACATCTATCAGGCAGCAGACCTTCCAGCAGAGAGAAAGATAAAAAAGTGACAGAAGGACAGCTAGATAGATAATAGTGAGTAGCTGTGAGATAGATAAGTGTAGATGGTGAGAACTGGAGCTTTAACAGACAGTAACTGACTGTCAGATGGATTTACAACACATTGTAAACAACAGTGCTTAAGAAGAATAGGTAAGAAAAACACAAAGCCTAGTTAGGGTAATCTTTACATTTCCAGAAGTGCTGCAGTTCAAGTGCTCCAGTGAGATAATGGTCTCCAATCTAAGGCAGGATGTGGGAAAAGGAACAGGTAACGGAAAGGCGATCTTAAAAAGGACTGTTATTAACATAAGAATGTAATCACAGAATCATAGAATCATAGAATATCCTGAGTTGGAAGGGACCCTTAAGGATCATCAAGTCCAACTCTTGACACCGCACAGGTCTACCCAAAAGTTCAGACCATGTG